ATAAAAAATCCAAATGGGTCATTTGACCCGGCTAAATTGAAAATTCTCCCCTCGGCACCAGTATTTTTCAATTTTTGTTCAAGGGCAGCCGTCTGAAATTTTCTCTTCAACAAATGCTCCCTGTTTATTCTACAACAAATACTTATCATATCAAAACTTCAAAATGGTACCAAAATATTGAGTGAAACCTAAGGAACTCTAATATGAACATATTTATATGAAAAATTCTATCTGACGAAACTCCATTGTGAGCTCATTTACGTCTCACCTTAATTCGCATTTCAATTTTCTTTTCAACTATCTCGACCCCTAATCAGATATTAAACTTTATTGCACCCAAATTCCAATTCAATTGCGAAATCTAACTAAGCTTTAACTAAATATCATATCATCAATAAACAATGTTTTGCATCAGACCACGACCAAACCTAGGTATTTAATAATCGAATCACAAATTATCTTGTATGAGTAGAAATCTAACCAAACTTAGGACATCTCCAATGCATTGGTAGATTGTTATAAGAATTGTATGAGTAATACTCCAACCAAACTTAGAGCATCTCCAATACTTCGGGTAGATTCAAGAAGTTGCCACATAAGCAAAAGAGATATTATTATCTATAAAATTCCTCCATAATGCAAACAGATAAGAATTTTATCAAGTGGATGTGGCAATGAAAAATAAATAAATAAAGCTATTTGTACATATGAATTGTACATTTTACAAATGCTGAGATGAATGCATCTTATTGGCTATTATAACTTTTTTTTTGTCCAATCTCTAATGAAATATTGCCATTTGACATTCTATAAATCCATCTGACAAATCTGTCTATACATATAGCATTGTTGGAAAAAAAATGCATGGTCTCGAACCCCGTTCAAACACAAAAGTTCTAAACATGTTGACTCAACAAAATTCATATTTCTCAAATATGTTTATATTTACTAGGGTTCTTTTGATTCAGAAGCTTATGGCATGTTCTCTTTATAATTTTCAAGTCGTTTTCTGTTTTCAATTTTTCAAAACAGTGAAAACACGTTCTCTTTCCTATTTTCGAAAACGCATTTTTGAAAACAAGTTTAAAATTTACAAAGAGAACTCAAAACAACAAATTTTTCGTTTTGGGTATTCCGTTATAATCAATCCAAAATTTTCAAAACACTTTTGGAGTGTTTTTAGTTTAACGTCACCCCAACCACCACCAACGCTCCCGGCAACACACCACAGCCGCCGCACCCACCACCCATCCTTCCCGATTCCATAAAACAACCTACCCTAATCGTAATTCATTTTCCACCCAAAAAAGGTCACAGAAACGACTACTTCATTCCACTTCTTCGGCATCGCTACCTTTTTCTATGGCACCAAAATCATTTTACGGTTGGATAGATTCAAAATTGTAAAAGGGGAACCAGACTTCCACCACCTATCGAAGGTCCATTGTTGCCTACCATCGTCGTCCCTTCTTCCATTGAAATTGAATCCACTTATACTCCTCTCAACTATGTGCTATAGAAACAAATTTGTGCGGGTGCTACCTGTTCCTGCAGTTTGTGAGGCAATTTTGTTTCTTCCTTTTGGCTTTTTAGATTGAATGTAGTTGTCGGTGGTGGTGGTGGTGGTGCTGCTGCATCTCTGGCTATGCAGTGGTGGTGCAATCTGGGTGGTAGTGCGATTTGGGTAGTGGTGTTGATTGTAATTGGTGTGATCTAAGTAATGGTAGTTGGTAGTGATGGTATGTCCGGTGGTGATGATGGTTGTTGGTGTGTTGTTGATGGTTTTGGTGTGATCTGTGTCTATGAGGTACAATTTGGGTTGTGGTGATGGCTATTGGTGCAGATGGTGGTGGTGGTGCAGTGGCGATGAAGGTAAGGTGGCAATGGCAAAGAGAGGAGAATGAGAGAACAGGTTCCCAATTTTTGAGTTTTCAAAACAATTTTTCAAAACGCCAAAAAGAACACATTTTCAATCATCTCAAAATGGACACTCAAAACACAAAACTCAAAATAAATTCAAAACTCAAAATACAAAACTGAAACACAAAGAGAATATCCATTTATCTTCCTGAGCTTATCATCGTGGATGGTGGAAAATTCAATTATAAAAAAACATTGTCTGTCGTCAAATATTGACAGTAACAATTGAAAATATTGGACTTTCATTCTTTCTTTTTTAAATTGTTAATTCCTCGCCAAACTTCATCGCCTTCAAATGTGATCCCAATATTCTTAATATCAAATTCAAAAATAACTTAAACCTAACAATTGCACATTAAAAACTTGTAACAATCACGATTCAAAACAGTTTCAATGCACAAGTAACAATTTGTAGTAACATTTTTTTTTTATAACCGT